CCCCCCCTGATGAAACAGTATGGCACAGTCATGCTTTTTGTGTGGGGTTGTGTATATCGAATATGACAACACAAACACAGCTCATGTATGCAACATACACTTGTATCGTTGTAGCACCCCTCACTCTCCCTCCCCTCTGCACAGGCTTTGCCCAATGTGCCTCTGTACTGAACAGTGCCCCRCATTTGTGCATTGCTCCACGCCTTTGCGAGCGGTGCAAGCACACCAAATGCTAATAACGTGAATTGTAAATGTGGGAAGGCTGCAGCATCATATCATTGTTGGTATTGAGAGTACCTGCTTCTGGGAGGAGGGAAGAGGACAGGGATGGAGGAAGGTCGTTGCTGACATTGTGAAATGTTTGTGGTATTTTGATGGCAGGGGACCACTTGCARCTTCGACCAAAGGTGGAGGTGTATGAGCTCAGCAAGGACTCTCGGAAGGGTTACAATCTCGATGTGTCGTTGTTCGAGCGGTTGGTAAAGCATGGCAAGTTCCCCTTCTACACACTAGAGGAGCAGCGTCGCATGCGGCCATGCATTGCAGATCTTGTGCGCAAAACAATTTACCCCAAACTCAGGGATCATTCGTCTGTTAAGGCCTATCCCCCTGTAAAAGGAATGGTTCATGACATCTATTTCTGGGACCATGACCATCCCGAGGCAGGAGAAGACGAGAGCCTGGGGCAGTCAAGGTCAAAGTTCAATGACAACGAGGCCTACATGGTCGCTGGGATTGCGAAGTACTTGTTTTCGCAAGGATATAAACCTGATGAGATTACCATTCTCACACCTTATCYAGGTCAGCTGCAGAAGCTGAGGTCAGTCCTCTCTAAGGTGATGTATGTGCATGTGGATGAGCGGGACGAGGAGCAGCTGTTGGATGCAGACATGAATGCAGAAGCAGAAGCAGAAAGAACGGGCAAAACTCCGAAACGCAGTGAAGACAAGACCCAGTTGACAGACGGACCCGTCATCTCAACGAAGTCTCTTCGAGAATCCATTCGAATTGCAACAGTTGACAAGTATGCACACCCTTTCCATCTGAGCTGGCCAGTCACCAAAACACATTGCATGTGAATCCTTCTTCCTTATGAGCGACAGTCTTGATGTCATGGGAGCATTTATTCTGATTGTGTATGCTATCCTGGTGTGTTGTCATGGCTTTCAATGATACATACAATGCAGTAGCCCATTGCCTTTGTGTCACTAATTGCCCGTTCAGCATTCAATATCCTGTCACGCCCAGGTCCATGAGTGTTTCGCGGTCCGTGCACAGGACTTCGTCGCCAACAGTAATTGTCCGCTGATGGAAGTTGACCGTGTGATCCTCGCTCGCAAGCAAGGGCATCCCCAAAATCATATACAAGTCTGTGTCTAACATGTCACGAGTGACGGCTTCGTGGGCATGTTGAGCGAAATAAATCAGCACGGCCTAGCTGTAGCGATCAAGCAGTTTTTGCGTTCGACCGTCCGCCAACTTAATCGCCGTAGGATGAAGCTTCCTTTGAACTTGTGCGCCAAGGCCAGCCCGTTGAATGAAGGGCYGGCTTACAAAATTGCAAGTTTCGCCGCTATCCAGCAAAGCGCTGCAGGATGCTTGCGCAACTTGGATGCGGACATAGAGCAGCGGTGTGTGGTTGCCATTGTACCACAGCGTGCAAAACTCATGTGCAACCTTCAAAATATACGCAAGGAGGTCCCCCACCGCGACTTCGTCACCTGTCAGCGAAGATGGTGGTGCACAGAAGGACAAGTATTCGTGCRAGTGGGCGCAGAGTGTTGCGCAATGCGGTTCYGGTAAGCAGCCCATCGAAGGGAGCGGAAGCCATGCAAAGTCCTCGGGCGTCAACKGGTCAAAGTCCTCAATGTTGAAACTCCCTTGAATAAGGACTCGAAGACGAAGAAACCGAACTACTGGTGGACGGAGAGAAAGCCGCGCACAACACAAAGAGCCCAGGAATGGAAGGAGCCAGGCAGCATAGTACTCGAAAGAATGAAGGAGAGGACTCACAGCATCCGCATGTGCCCCGGAACCAAGGGAGGTCGTTTGYGAGGTAACCGGTTMCGGAGGCGTTGAGAGTGTCGCTATCACTCTCGGCGGTGCTTAGTTTCCCGAATGGGACTTCCCCTTCATGGGACACYCGCCGGTCGTATGGCGTCGTTGTTTGACCATGACAGTAATGGTACTTGGAGCGGACTTTGTGGACCCCCTCCGAGATGCCGAAATGTRGCCAAGGTGCTGCCCTGGAGATGAAGTGGTGGATGTCTTCTTCTTGCCGCGTCCTTTTCCTTTGGACAGATGGCCACCATCCTGGGCGGCTGCTAACGTGTCTCCCTCTTTCGACGAGCAGCCTTGTTAATAGAAATGGTCGTCGAAGTTGCCACGACCGYGGCCACCTTGGGCAGATGCTGATCTCTGTTCAGCCCTGCGCTGGACGAATGTTAAGAGCTTCGGTGTTCGTCACAATAATCTGCGGGCCTTGGCAAAAAGTTACTCACTTGTGGTAATTGTCTCCGTCACCTGCCGGGCATGAGTGTGTGACCAAGTAGTGCTTCACGCCATGAAGCTGACTGGCACCACGCCCATGAAGCTGACTGGCAAGTCTGGCGTGGATGCCAAGCGTTGGAACTCGGAAATCCRGTCCAAGCTAGGTGAGGAGTTCTGGTGGAATTTCTGCAGCTGCTCCATTGCCTTTAGCTCGGGCAGCTCCATGTGCCATGCTGCAGCAAGATCRACCCAACTGATCTTTGTGTGAGGCTTGGAGACAGCTACCCTGTGGGTGGACAGCACGTTGTCAAGCCATGCTTGACATGCGCCCCCCGACTGGTGATAGAGGTATGCATCCCGGTCGTTGGGCAGCACATGGTGCATGTCCAACCTCAAGGTGAACTGCTGCCACCATGGAATCGGATCAGTCTTCGACGAATTGCAGAAGACCGAGATGTCGTCCAACTTGGGTGGGCGGCCGGTGGGCGAGAGAGGCTGGGCCCACTGCTGCAGCCGCACGGACTTGCTGTGCCAACCTCTGATCGGTGTCCACTATTTGCTGATTACCGCTGCTGTGTGGTGTCCATCAATGTGCCTATGTCGATCTCCAAGACATTGACACTGCCTGAGAGATTTGAGGGACCAGCGGCGGTTGCCACTGCAACTGGCCGCTGTTCCAAAGTCTGTACACGTGCGGTCAATCTGCGAACGGACTTGTCCAAGGAGAGGATGTCCTCTTGCTGCACGTGGCAGGTCAAGACTAAGTCGACAATCCGCTTGATGGCTGTGGAAAAGTTACGCACAGTCACGGTGGCACCCTCTTCCTTGRCCGATCTGTCCCACTTGGCGGCCAAGCTCAAAACTTCTGCCTCCTCCTMGAATAATGTGTCCCTACACGTCTGTCGCGCCTCATCTGCAGCGCTGTGCGGTGTTTCATCGGCAGCCTTATGCAGTTTGGCAGCAAGGCGCTGCTGTTCCGCTCCCTCCTCCGCCTGCTTCTTGCGCGCGGTTATGTCCGCCTCAGTCTTCCTCCTTATCTCAGCCAACATGTGAACCATACGGACCTCATAGGCCGCTACAGTTTCCCCCGGCTTCTGCTCCATTGCTTTGGTTACCGAAYGTAGAATSGCTGGCATCCACTGCAGGTGCTGATGTGGCACGAGACTGCTGTTGTGTGGCACCAAACCCGGCTGACGTGWCTGCYGATGTGTCGCTGCTGATGTGGCAACTCACCAATCCCTCAGCAGAAGAAGAAGGAGAAGAGAAGATATGGAGGAAGAGAAAGGGAGAAGAGGACGCAGCATACACAGATGGGAAGGGCAGGAGGGAGGAAAGAAATTGCAGTAAACTGAGTAAAGTGATAGCATTTCCCAATCCCCGTGGGGTCAGTATGATCGCCCAGATGAGGAGGAACTGGTCAAAAATAAAAAAAGAACCGAACTTGCATAACAGTAAAATTTTCAGAGAGTTATTCCGAAATAGCAAGTGTGAACTCCAGACTGCAGATAAAAAGGTGATTGATCGGACGTGCAACACTCGAAGAATGAGCAAATCCGAATTTTCCTAGAGAAAAGAAACGGCACAAATGAAATTTCCTTTTCTTCGTTTTTTGGTTGAAAATTTGAAATACTAGTCTGGAAAGAAAAGAAAAAACGAATTTCTGCTGAAGGGGGATAAATTTTGAATATCCGAAGAGAAAAAAAATTGAAATATTACAGCCCGGAGGACTATGCAGTATCAGCGAAGCATCAACAAGCRATGGACATCGGTATACATACAGAAATGGCACAATGTAGCGCAGTGGAAGACTCAAAATTATGACCTGACCGGCTGGACACTGACTCAACCCAAACCACCAGACACCACACATGTGGGAGAAAAGGGAGGGACCTTATACAGAGAAGGTAGGTCCCTCCTCGAGCACGCATGGGGAGAAACCACTGATGAGCGGATGGAGGAAGGGCAAGACGAAGACGTAGATGAGGGAGAACACCAAAGTCGCGATAGCGCAGTCCAGAAATAGCTTCCCTAGCGATTGTCCAATCAATATCTGCCCCTGTGATGTCGAGTCTGCTCCTGGGCCCCGTAGCCCGACTTAACGTCTGCCTGTAACACCTCTCTCTCTCTCTCTCTCTCTCTCTCTCTCTCTCTCTCTCTCTCTCTCTCTCTCTCTCTCTCTCTGTCTGTGGAAGGAGAAAAAGAAGAAGAAGAAGAAGAAGAAGAAGAAGAAGAAGAAGAAGAAGAGGGAGAAGAAGCAGGAAGGAGGATCTGAAAGGCAAGAGCAGGAAGAAGAAGATGTCGACCTCTCCACTGCCTCACCTGCAGGTAACTGCTGCCACGTACTARCGAGCTGGACTACCTCTCTGTGCTGCAGGTCGCTGGTGAAGACACCAGCTATGTCGCCCAGGTAAGCTATCTGCACCTCGMAGGTATGGMCACCACCTCTCCCCTCACCTCTCCCGGCTCCTACGYGTCAACCTCTATTGCAGCACTCCAAATGTCACATGCTGCTCCAACAACGTGATGCTCACACGTTGCCAACTGAAAATCTGTCGAACTGGACTGCCCTCCCATTAGATATATTGTTGGTCCTGGCTGGGCAGACCACGGTCTGCATCCAGGAGCGTCTGATCTAAGATTCAATCGAAGGCCCTGAATGCAGGCCTAAATCCTCCTCCTGGTGGTATCTTGCTGCTACAGCAGCTCCTACCTATTAGCGGGAAGTCCTAGGTGACACACCTGGAACGGACAAAAAGGGACCAGAGAKCAAGACTCAGCAAAAAACGAAATAAATAAATACTGCATCAAAAAAAGACAGCAAGACTCAGCAARAAGATAAATAAGGGAATAAATAAATGCTGAATCAAAAGAAAAAACCTGCATGGGGCAGGAAAACATGCCTGGCCTGGAAATGSCCGTGGGCCTCCTGGTTGCGCAGCAACAAAAATGGTGTGCGGCCTGGGAGGCCCTAACAACCGTGGGGCCCTAAGAAAAAGGGCCTGTGTAGAGGCCTCAGCATGCTATGGAACCTCTCTCCTTCAACTCTGACCCTCCCGCTGCCCGAAAAGAAAAGAAATAATTCAACCATAGCAGAGTAACTGAGCAAACCAGTATATATTTAAGGAAACAAGACGTCTGCCCGCCGCAAGTGCGGCGGGGACCAAGAGCGGGGCCCAAGAGTAGGGAGGAAAAAAAAAWGCACCAATGCCCTCTCTGACTCTCTCTCTCTCTCTCTCTCTCTCTCTCTCTCTCTCTCTCTCTCTCTCTCTCTCATCCATCCCATTCCTGCCCCCGCTGGTCCCTCTTTGGCTCCTCGCGTTGCCCTTCCCCCCGTCCACTGCCCTGGTCCCCCCCTCCGACTCCTCCCGTTCGTCCCCACCGCCCTTTCACGACGCAGAAAAACAACCGAGCGGGCCGTGGATCTACGTGCGCAAAA